TAGGTAATTCTGTTCACTTTCTGCCCGACTGCTTTAACACCGCACTGTGCGGAGTATTTCAAAGTTAATGTTTCACTGAAGGGCCAAATACCTGTATTAACCTATTCTCTATAACAGACTTTAGTTTCACAGTTACAGTTTCTACCATTTTCCTGATTCATGATACTAGGTCTGAGAAAATGACACCGTGCTAATTCATCTGTATCATCGCTTCTGCAGCCAGCTGCATTACCTCCCTCCTCGCTGCCACCTTGTTTCACAGCTGTCTTCCACCGACTCAGAAACAGGCGCCTTTCACTTCATTTACTTTCTAAGCAAAAAAGTCTCAAATCTTCCAGACGTTATTTACTGAATATATTGAACTCCACCACAGAAAGAAGTAGTTACTGTTATTGTTAAAATCTTTCATTTTAGAAAAATAAGAGTCATTATCCGGGCTTAGCAAACTGAGTTCCTACAGAAGCCAAGTCTGCTAAACTTCTTCAGACAGTATTTTCTTATTGCTTTCAGGCACACAGTTTGGAAAGAAATGATATATAGCATTTCAAGAAAAATCTACGTAAGCAATATACAGGTACATGCATCTATATAAGTGGAAACATGTACCTAAATAAATATATGCCCAACTATATCCAGAAGTATAGATGTATATAGGCAGAAAATACATGTTGATCATAACCTAACCATTGAACTCAATAGTATAGGTAGCTCCTTTCACATCCATGGAATCACTATTTTCATGGATCTGGTCCTGCGACTTACGTCGGATCATTTCATTTTTACCAGGTAAGGAATGGTCCTTACACATTAAATAAAAATTCTTGAAAGACACATGCACAAATCCACACACATTATATTTAGGTACAGCCACGTGCCCATTACACACTAGAACGAAACAAGCCTTTTCTGTCTTAAACAAACACAAGTATATCAAATCGGTTGCAGAAGTACAAAGAATGATTCCGTATTTAAACAAACATCGAGATTTGCTGCTGGATCTGACTTCAGGTCTCATAAATACTGCATAATTCAGGTGGATGTGTACTCTGCAGTTCACGAACAGAGAACGTGTATTGCAAAGCATGGGGTCTGGCCTTTTTTGGCTCAGTACTTTCTCTTTCCTATTAGATTGTATTTCTTTAATACATTGGCACGTACCAAAACTCTTAAGCAAAGATGACAACCAGCAGGCAACTCTGACTTTGCTTTTTTTCTCTGTCCTACATACCTCAGCTAGTCTTCTCATCCCTTGCTTTTGTCCTCTCTGAAGCTTTTCATCATACAAGCTTCCTCCAGCAAATGCAACAGTCATTGTTCTCCCCGTAGCCTTCTTCGCTGCCAAACATGTGACAAGCTCCTTCCCCACCATGCTTTCTCTGCAGCCCTGGATAATCTCTACACAAGTGACAACCTACATACCCTCCCTTTTCAGTCCAGTACTCCTAATTAGCATTATTTGGCCTCTTAGAACTGCACCTGCACAAAATCTACACACATCTTTACCTGTACTCCTGTCATAAATCCTACTGAACACAACACCCAGAATGCTAATGCTCAAGGTGAATATTGATTAATTCAAAAGGATAATAAACCTGCTTATGGTAACAACACTTCACAGTCTGCATTTCTCCAAAAACATAACATTGCATATCTTCATGCAACACTGTTTATGTGCTCGTTGCTCCAAAACTGACACAATTCAGAGCTAGGCATAGCTGTAACACAGCAGAGCTGGTCTCACCAAACATAAATTTGAGTACCACTGTGGGTTAAAGAAAAGGATTATTGGAACTCTAATCTTCTTTGTAGTTTGGTGGATTTTCTTGTTGTGGAAACTACGGAAGAAGAAAAGAAATGTTTTTTGCTGCAGAAATGTTAAAGCTGATTTTGATCATATGTTCTACCCTCTGAACTGCCTGAACGTGACGAGAAACCTTCAACCCTCCAGTCACTGTCCCTAGTCTTCCATTTTCCTACTTCTGAAATAGAGACAGTAACAGATATCTGTGTCAAAAATATCTACAATTAAATATGAAAATATTTAACTTTTTTTTTTTAAGAAATTTGTTAGTGCCAGAACTTCTTCAGTTTCCACAACGACCTCTCACGAGCATCAGATGAATTTACCTTTTTAGAAATAACTGGAGAGCAGTGTTTTCTGGGGTGAGTGTGTTCTTAACTATCCTTTGGCTCTCTGTGTTGCACCCCATCTGAATAGTTAGGCCCTAATGGGAGGTATACGCCCAAGGGGTGTGACATAGTTGTTGTCCTTAAAAAAATATTTTATATATAAAAAAAGGAAGTCAGCCTGCCTATGCTTCACCTATTGTCTGAATCCACACAATCACTTTTAAGAAAACTCTTCCCAAGGCAAATAAATGTGATTACCATTTCATCTTACAGCCTGGCAACAATTCACTTTAATATTTCTTGGTTGACACTTCTTTTCTTTTGTCAGTATACAGGGAATCGTGTACCACTATAGGGCAAAAAAACCCCAAAGTTCTGCAAACAAATCCTTAAATGATCTAGCAATCTAATATAGGAAACTATATTTGATACCCAGGCACTTTAAGCCACAAAAACATCAAAAGCCTGGAAACAAGATCAGAGAGAACTTTTACAAAAACACCTTTGACACAGAAATGAAAACAGAGTCCCCAAGTAACCTTCAGCCAAAATGATTTTGATGTAAGATAGGTCAAAAATTGATCTTAAAACCAGCAAAGGAAATGAGCTAAGAACTGGGAACAATGATACGCTGTGTCTCTTCTCAGTGACTACAACTATCGACTGAGAAAGAAACGCCACCACCACAATCCCATGCAGTAACCTCGCACCTCATGGCAAAGTGGAGAAAGAGGCTTAAAGGGCTTGTGAAAGGCAGTCACCGAGGAAATGCGATGCTGGAAACACTGCGATGTGCGCGTTGTGATGATGAGACTTTCACACATATTTATCAGACCCTCTAAGAAAGGAGCCAGAAACAACATCAAGAATAATTAACAAAGCAGCCAT